CCTTGGCCAAGTGTCCTTCAGAGCCACACTTAAAGCAAGTGAGTGGGAGCTTCCTCTCTACTCCCTTGCCTATCTGTGGCTCTCACCTGTGACACTGCCTACTGAAGTGGCCCAGCTTTCCACAGTGGAAGCAATTCTGACCTACATGGGGACTTTTTAAAAATAGGGGTTTACGTGAAAGTTACAAGTCGATTTGAGTTTCCCACTCAACCACCCACACAGTTTGGAATATTAATGACAATACCTGATACCCACAAATGGCGCTTCCCACTCCACCTTGTGACTCTCTTTTCTATAAATCCTTTTCTTGATTTTAAACAATGTAATAGCAAGGTAATCATAGTTATGATCCACACAGCCAATGAAGTACAAGTGAACATCTGATACTCTTTCAGCCGAAATAACATCTTGCCAGACAGTCTTTGTGCCATGGCATCTTCTGAATCCCGCTTGAATTTCTGGCAGTTCCCTGTCGATGTGCTCTCCAGCTGTTTTTCCATTCTATTCAGCAAGGTTTTACATATATGTGATATTACCGGTTGTTGTTGTTATGTGCCGTGGAGTCGCCTGCGACTCATAGCGACCCTATGTACAACAGCCCTAAACCCTGCTCTATCCGGTGCCAGTCGCACTGTCTCTGACACTCCCATCCCAATTACCCCAGTCACTGAGTCAATCCACCTCAGTCAGAGAGGGCCTTCCCCTCCTGCGCTGTCCCTCCACACTCCCAAGCATGATGTCCCCCTCCAAGGACCAGTCAGTCTCTCCTCACAACATGTCCAAAGTATGTCAGACGAAGCTTCAGAATCCTTACTTCCAAGAAGCCGCCTGGTTTAACCCTCTCCAGGTTGAATCTGTTTCCCTAGCAGTCCATGGTACCCTCAATACTCTTCTCCAGCACCACAGCTCAAAGGCATCAATTCTCCTTCTATCCTCCTTAGTTACTGTCCAGCTCTCTGATGCATAACAAGTGATAGCAAAGACGTTGGCCTGTATCAGACACACCTTACTGTCCAGAGAGACACCATTGCTCTTCAGTACTTTGGAGAGGTCCCTAGCAGCAGACTTTCTCATCGCAATACGTCTTTAAATTTCCTGGCTACTGGTGCCAAGAGTGTTGACTGTGGAGCCAAGTAAACTAAAGCTGTGTACAATCTCAATCTCTTCACCATCCATCCTGATGCTGCCAACTGGTCCAGTGGTGAGAATCTTTGTCTTCTTGACATTGAGCCTCAATCCAGATTGGAGGCTGCAGTCCTTG